TATATATATATATATATATATATATATAATATCATAATTAAATCCTTACAAATTTAATTATAAAAAAATTAGTGGGTCCCATCTTCCTCCCCATGATGCGTGCAATGCTCATTAAACTCTTCTCCATTAAACTCCCCATGACACCATTCACAATACATGATGCATGTCATGGTTCCCATTAAACTCCCCATGACACCCCATTAGAGATGCTCTTAGAGCATGTGTCTTGGCATAACACAAGGACAAACAATATAATAAATGCGTTTGAGGGACTGTAGTGGGAAAAACTAACAAACCATAGGACTAGGAATGTAATCTACTCTAATTTTAAGGTCCATCATTGAAAAACCTTAATAACAACCTTCCAAAAGAACAACATGGAAACCATGAATCATACAAGGATTTTGAGCTCTTATCAGAACATTTAATTATTAATAATTTAATTTAAATTCACAGTTTGGTAGAGAAGATGAAAAGAAGTAATAAATATGGTAGTGGTGAGTGATGAGTGGTGAGAATGGTGCAATCTGTTGGCTGGGCCTGCCTGAGACCCTGATCATCAGGTACCTTTCCACGCATCGCCAGCAAAGGCCACATAACAGGAACACGTTTCTTAAGGAAAAGCCAATTATATAGAAACAAAAACACATGCAGGCTCCATTTTTTTTAGGTCTACACAAAAATCAAAAATAAGTCCCGGAAAAACGATGCTTGATAAGTATGATATTTTTTTAATATTTTTTTTATCATCGAAAATATCATTAAATTTATATAAAATCGTTTTTTTAGTATTCCTAGATGTATAATCAATCAATAATATCTACTAGAATATTTTTATGTACTATCATCTATTTGTTCAATCATCAAGAACATCCTATGATATATTCTTGGTACATAGAATAACATCATTTGGTGTCACGATATTAATTCTTTTGATTTTTAAGTAACATTATGTAAATCAATGTAAGTAGATTGGTTTTCCATGTCACCTAATGATAATGTTTTTTAAAACTATTTTAAACTTTTATATTATGTTCTCGAATTTGGGAAGAAAAGGAAAATAATAATAAAAGAAAGGAAAAAATAAAGTTTTTTATTTGTGTTTTGAATAGAGAAGAGAGAGGAAGGAAAAATAATAAAATAAAAACAAAATTTTGATATAATTTCATTTTTTCTTTCCTTTCCTTTTTCCTAAGAAAATCTCGAAAACAAAATATTTTTTCTCCTCCATTACTTTTTTTTCTTTAATTCATAAAAGATGACTCAAGAACATAGCATTAGGGTTAAAACAAACTTTTCCGGAATCATCCATGTTATAAATAAAAAAACTCATGTTGGTTGTAGTTTGAGATCTTATTCTTCTTTTAGAGATAGAAGAATACATAAGATTTATGCACTCGATATTAGATGATAAAGAATAAATATGAAAAAAACAATTATAGTTTTATTATTCTAAAAAATATATAAATTGTATCGTCTCATATGGTTGGTAATTTTTTCAAGACGGGGGGTTTTGTTAGCTGATAACAAAAAAATCTACCGTATTTTAATACAAAAATAGAATCCATGCGAGGATGGAATAATCAAAAAAGTCAATCGGAGATGAATTATGGAGATATATATCAAATTTTTCGAGACAAGTAGTTTTAGACGTCGGTATTAGATAAAAGAACTTAAATAAACATTAAACAATATTATATAATGAACTTTTTTATGTATTTTGTTTTCCAATATATTTAATTAATATATGTTTGGGTCTTTAATAGTTAATATAGTACTAACTTTTTTATATCTCTTCTATTTACTAATTTTTATGAACCCTGGACGTACGCACAACCTCCCCTCTCAGTAACGGCGCTGGCCACATTTCCAGGAACACAATGGCCTACAACATTCTAGGACCCTTGTATCCTACCAAAAACAAACAATAACCCAATGTTCCCTTCCTTTTCTTTTCTTACACTAAATTAAAATATTGTTTCTAGTCATTTCAAGCGCATAATTAGTTTCATTGATGGAGTACAAAACATTTATGATCTCCAACATAATATACTTGACATAAAGAAATTGAAATTCAAGATTTTTCATCGTCACTTTATTAATTAGCGATAGAATTTGATGCTTCTAATAGAGTTTATTGATGATATTTGGCATCTGGTGTCTGCTAATTTCAGGTCTTTACAGGTATAGGCTAGGAGATGTGGTGGAAGTGTCTGGTTTTTACAAAGGAACCCCAAAACTCAACTTCTTATGTAGAAGAAAGCTAATCCTAACAGTAAACATCGATAAGAATACAGAACAAGACCTTCAACTCGCAGTCCAAAAGGGCTCCCAACCACTCATCAAGTCCAGAGCCGAGCTAGTCGACTTCACTAGCCACGCCAACATTGTAAACCAGCCTGGTCACTACGTGGTGTACTGGGAGATCAAAGGTGTTGTCAATGAAGATGTTTTGGACCAATGTTGCAAGGAAATGGATGCAGCATTTGTAGATCATGGTTATGTTGTCTCGAGGAAAACCAACTCAATTGGTCCGTTAGAACTTTGTATTGTGGAACGAGGCACATTCAAGAAGATCATGGAATATTTTATTGGCAATGGTGCAACGATGAGCCAGTTCAAGACTCCAAGGTGCACAACAAATCAAGTTTTATTGAAGATCCTAAATCTCTACACTATCAAGAGGTTTCGTAGTACTGCTTACCAGTGATCACGTATGCACAAGATAGCTGTTATTCCAAAAATAAAGGGGGGCATATCATAATAAATGATGATGTATTATGACTAAGTTTTGGGCAATTGTATCCATGAGTAACATTCTACTTATATAAGAAGATAAAAGTCACCACATAATATAGTGCAGTTTTGTTTGTATTCTACGTTCATTCATGGTAGCCGAGTTAGCCAATAAAAATAAATCAATTGGGCATCTTCTTTTAACTGTAATCCAAAACGAAAAGGGTTGCTCAATTTTGGTTTAGGATTGAACGTTTAGCGATTAACCCTTTTGCGACTTAACTGAGGATACATATATAGAGAGATAGGATCTTTTGTTAACCCAATAAATAGTGTTAACTTTGGAAACCTCAATGACAAAAAAAGAAACAAGACACACTTTTGGTTGATGCATATGATAAATTTATTTGATGAGGGTAAAAATGCAATTATCTATTTGATATTTCTTTTATTGCAAATTAAATATTGGTTATATTTCTTATTTAATTCATGATTCTTGCCATTGTTATTATTAGGTGATAGACGAGTATACACTTAATCAGATTAAGAATTTTGATGGGGTTTCAAAACTATTAGTGATCAAGCTCACATAAGGTGGTATACTATGAACAATGTTCTAAAATAGATTCTCATACATGATAACCCTTTCTTCATAGGTGAACCATTTCGTTTCAACATTTAAGAAAAATATTTTGTTCATATGTGTATCATATTACCACATACACGTAATGCAAACTAGGTATGTGCAAATTGCCAATTATTTTGAAAAAAAAAAATGAGTATTTATATCATATGTGAACCAGACTACATAGTACATGTATTTACTAACATAGAACATGGACTTGCAAAAAAAAGTTATGATTTTTACTAACATAGAACATGGACTTGCAAAAAAAGTTATGATTTTTTCAAATATACCCTTGTTCACAAGTGTTTATCTATGTCAATTACATTGTTTAATCTTATGAAATTTTTTCATATAATTGTTTAATCTTATAAAATTGTTTCATATAATTTTTTTTTGATGAAGTTGTTTCATATATGGTTATGAAATTGTTTCATAAAATCTTATGAAATTTTAATGAAACTGTTTCATGTATTTTTCTAAAATTAATATGATGAAAATGATAATATCATGATTAATACCCTCCACAGTATATAATATTTCTCTCCTCTTAGTTTAAGTAGTTGGTTAACTTTTAATGGAAGATGCATTTGAAAGACTGCAATCATTCACATTATTTATGTGTTAATCACTCATTTTGATTTTTGATGATCTTTAGGTTTATTGGATGTTTAAAGAGGATAACCCAAGCAATCTTCATGTATCTGTTGGAAAAAAGAACAGGATTTTTCTCCAAAGTTTCTTTTATAACGCCCAACTATAAGTGGACATTAGCCTGCTGATGGAGGATCTCGATTCGATTCACGACTAGAAGAATTGGTAGAGTTGGTTGTACAAGTGTTTCCCTCTTCTCCATGTCAAAGTAAAATCTGATGAATAAAACCAAGGAGTTAAAAGGACATAATGTAGTAGCATTTATTTGCCTTCCTTTTTGTGTGGTTTTTGTTGTTTTGATTATAGGAAATAGCGATATCAATTTTGTGGCTTATAGGTGCATTATACTTTGCTACTGATATGTTGATATATAGAGAGAGATGATATGTTTTTTCGTTTTATAATTTTAGATTTATTCATTCAGGAAAAAAAAAAAAAAAAAAACTCAGGGACTAAATCGCTCAAAATATGAAAGTCTGTTAAGTTTTTTTCTGGATTTTTCACATAATTTTTGCATATAGTAACCGAATTTTTAGATCATAAAAAATCAATGTGTTCGGTTTCAAATAAATACAATGATTTAATTTTTTTAAAAACCGTCCAAACACTTGATTGTTCAGAAAACTATTTGATTTTGATATTAGATTTCGAGGGGTGTTTTGATTCATTTTGTTTGGTTTATGACGGTTTTGTTTGCTTTTGGATAGGTTATGTAGCTTGCACAATCTTGTGTTGAACTGTTATTCAATTATTTTGTTTCTTTAATACTATTGTGTTGGCGTTTAAGAAAAAAGCCTATTTGGTCTAGTCCCATGTTTTCAACCTTATATTATTATTAAATAAAGGGTACTTGCGTAATGTAACGAGATAAATCTTCATTTTATTGTTTAGTTTTTATTCATTGTCTATATCGATATTAATATCAAATTAACTATTTAATAGTTTTTCATTTTTTTGGTGTAACTTCGTTAGTTTAATTTTTTATTATAATTTAACTTAGATTCAATAACAAAGTAATTTATTTTTGATTTAATAATATAATTTTGTGTAAAGATAATAATTAAACATTCTGTTAGAACTCAATGATCATCTTAATTATATTTTAGATTTTCTATATTTAAAATAGATGTTTATCATGTATTTGATTATGTTTATCTGCAATTGGTTGCACAAATTTAAAAAGTGGAGCTTTAATAAGTTGTACTTACACAAAATCACTTGTAATATTAAATTTTAAGTAATATGCACCAATAAATAGTACTTTATGAATAAAAAATACAAGAGTTTTTGTCAAATGTTTATAATATAGTATAGATTAGAAATAAATATGAATTATTACTAATATTAATAGAAAATTATTAATTAATTTTAGTAATACATTATACATTAAATATTAATTAGTAATCATAACTTAATGTAAATTTTTTTAAAATTTGTTTCAACAAATCAAAAGATTTATATAATACATATAGAGGAGGATTCAAATACAAACCATCAATTTGAAATTCGTTAATTATCATATTATATTATTTAACTTTGTTTTACTGTCTTGTTTGTATCAACGAAGTACATATTATATGATTAGAGATTTGTTTTAATTATATTATAAAATGTTGTAACAGATTAATTTTTCAAGATATCTTTTGTTGTCATTTTACATTTTTCATCTAGCCCACCAACTAGTTTTTGTCAAAAGTGAATAGTTTATCACTACCGACTAGCTAATCAAATTACAACTAGTTTATCAGTCATCAGATACCTTATCAACTAATTTACCAAACATATAGCTTTATCGTTTTCATGTTTTGATATATTATATGATATGTTCAAGAAGATCACGAGACATTTTATTGGCTTGCAAAAAAGGGAAAAATCAGGTAGATCGCTAGATATATATATATATATATATATATATATANAGAGAGAGAGAGAGAGAGAGAGAGAGAGAGAGGGGGAGGGGTTGTTTCATCATCGACAAAAAAATGTGCGTCGGTGGTGGGTTTTTGGTGTTTTTGTTTTTAGTATGTGGTTAGAATAAATTTAGGTTTTAGTACCTATGAAACTAGGTTTTTATATATTTTTGACGGTGTCGGTTGGAGATGCGAAATTTGTGGCCATTAGAAAATGCAATTATTTAAGTGATGGTATTGACATTTAACTCTTTATAAGAAGTACAGAGCAAGAGGGTACTATATCACATGTACTTTTATTTTTATTCCAAGATGGTTGGTCTTAATAAAACCATTAATAATATAACTGCCCAAGGTTTTTTTTTTAAATGCTTAAAATATTTTTTCCTATTTTTTATTTTATTATTGGCAAAATGTGTGGTTGCATAGTTTAGACCATTTTATTTAGAATGGCTTCTATTAAACTAAAATAAAATAAGTTGCGATAAGTTTCATGTTGATTATAAGTTCAATGACGATTAAAAAATACATAACACGTAATATGGTGCAGATAGCGTGAGTTGCATGACTTGCATCCACAATATTCAGTATCAACCTACAGACGTTTTCCTGGAAAATCTATCGCTAAAGGGTGATTCGTCACAAAAGCTGTTGGGTAATTGTTGGTGAGAAACTCAAATCTGTGACAGATTACCCAAGGATTTCATGGGTGATCCGTTGGTATTTTCTTGAAAAATATCGGATTCTCCCAAACCATTGGTCTTTTCTGGGTGATCTGTGGGTAATCACCAACGGAAATTTTACTGGGTAATTTTTATGGGTAAAAGTCATTTGTTTTATACTGATTAGGCAAAAAAAAAGACATGTAGAACATGACTCACCTTGGACCATATTTATCCACAAATATAACTTATGAAAATTAAGAAAGACAAGATGCCTCCCCATAATCAAAGATAAATTGTGGCATAATAACTTGAACTTTGTAGTAGGGTATTTTGGAAGGGCCAAGCATCGTCCTTGGTCTGGATGTACTGTCGCTAAGGCTATCGACACCTGAATTATTAGGGTTGAATAATGTCGACCCTCGGGAGTTGGGAGTCTTTTTCTCCGTCAACCATTGGGTCCCAACCTTTCTTTCTGTAAAATCAGTAAGTATCCTACTGAAAAATCTGAAAGAATTTTGTCAATAGATTTAATTCTCATTTACCACCATTTATTAGCTTTTCACATAATGCTTCTTGCTAAATGCATCAATAAGGATTTTAAAACCACGGTGAGATACAGTTGCGAAAGGCAAACCCCATAAGTAGGAAGATTCGGTATAGGATTTGCACCAAAGAAACTAGAAACACGACCGCTTAGGAACAAAGCTCATACTTGAAAAGTGAAAACCAAACATCAAAAAGAAGTCGTCACAAAAAAGAAAACCCTTTCCGTTCTACTTTTGTATACATTTGAACCAAACGAATCTTCTTTTACCACAAACAAACATATACACCAACAATATAAATTGACAACACTTCAATGAAATCAAATCCGAGATATTAAAAGCATGTTTCCCCATCGATTGTGAATTTTCATAGGCAAGTGTCATGACAATTAATCAGGGGCTGGCCTATCAAGGGTCCCGTCAAGGGAGGGGGTCCGGTACTATTCTACAGATCGGTTGGGATATGATCCAAATTTGCATAGAAGCATCCCTTCATAGACATGAAAAACTTTAGTGATAACCACTCGAGGCACCATAAACTCCGGTCCTCACCAAGGTTGGATGCACCCTTATTTATGGGAGCGAGATACCATAGATTTGGTATGATGTAACGTAATTTTTTTAAGTTATTTAATAATCCAATCACTTTTTTGTTATCGATATGAAATTGGATCTTGAGATATCATAACCCCAAGGCCCAAATCTTATATTAATA